AATTCATTAAGCTTCAAAGTAGCAAAACCAAGATGGAAGAGTTTAGCTCCTCATTTGGAGACTAAACATGATAAAAATATAAAGAAAGAACTTGTCTAAACTGAGCTTAGAAGTATATAGGAATTGGTGATTTTTTGTGGAGGAAATGGGGTGTATTTATAGGCTTTTTAGGCCTGCAGGGTCGTGTACCCGATCGGGTTTTCAGCTCAACCGATCGGGTAAGGGTCAGTTTCCTCGAAACTGAAAATCTAGGGTCATACCCGATCGGGTATGTCGGCTACCCGATCGGGTATGGATACGCGATCGAGTTAAAAATCTTCCTGCATGTTGCCTTGTTCCCGGGTTGATTCGATTTGACTTTTCAGCGACTTACCCGATCGAGTATAGAGCATACTCGACCGGGTACAACACCAAAAATCAGGATCTTCATTTTGTTTTGGAATTTTTGCACCTTCCTTCTACTTGTGATGTTCACCAATGGTCCCTAGAGTGGTCTTGGACCTGTTTGAGCTCAGAACAAATCTAATCTAAACAATTTACAAACATTTTACAAACTAAACTATTACACCAAAAGTGTGTAATTTCTAGAGTCATAATCACTCAAAACTAATCAAAATCACAAATATAGGCATGGAAATAACATGAATGTCATAGCACGGTTATGGACTATTAACGATTTTCTTGCATATGCTAACTTATCTAGATATAGAACAAAGGGATTTCTTGGTTGTCCATGTTGGGAAGTCAAAACAAAGTATCTCAGGTTATGCACGGAATGAAAACATGCTATATGGGACATCGCCGATATTTATCCCCAACTGATAAATTCCGCCGAGACAAAGCATATTTTGATGGAAAATAAGAATTTAAACAAGCACCAAAAAGATTACCTGGAAACCAAGTGATACAAAAGCTGAGTGGCGTCGTGTTAACTGAGTATAAGAAAGATGACTTGTTGAAAACAAAAAGAGGTGAAAATGAGAACTTGTGTGGCAACTGGAGAAAAAAGAGTATATGTTTTTAGCTTCCTTATTGGAAGACCAACTTGCTCTGACACAATCTAGATTTGATGCATGCATATTGAAAAAAATGTCTTCGATAATATCCTTTTCGGATTATTATTAAATGCGAAAGGGAAGACCAATGATAACATAAATTCTAGACGAGACATGGTAGAAATGAATATTCGAAAGTCCTTATACCCAGTTTTAAAGGATAATAACAATTATTATATTCCTACAACATCATTCACTATGAGTAAGGATGAGAAATATAACTTCTGTAAAGTGTTAAAAGACATAAAAGTTCGAGATGGGTATGCATCAAACATATCTAAGTGTGTTATTCTAGATAAGCTACTTCTTTCAGGACTCAAAAGTCATGATAGTCACATTCTTATCCAACAACTCATTCCTTTGGCAGGTCATTACCCAAAAATGTAGTTGAAGCTTTAATTGAGGTTGGTAATTTCTTCAAGCTATTGTAATCCAAATCAAATCGTGAAAGTGATCTGGAAAATGTGCAACATAGGATTAATGTGACACTATGTCATTTTGAGAAGATATTTCCTCCACTTTTTGACATAATGGTGCATTTGATTGTCTATTTGGCCGAGGAGGCTTTGCTGGGTTGAGCAGCGCCATTTAGGATCATGTATCCAATTGAGAGGTATGCCATCCGTTATTTTATGAGATAATAAGATATTAATGACTTGAAGAGATACTATTATGACAATATTGTTATAACAATTAGGTATTTGTGTACTCTAAAGAAATATATGCGTAATCGAGCTTACTCAGAAGCATCCATTTCACAAGGATATGTAGTGGATGAGTGCATGAATTTTTGTTCAAGATACCTCGAAGATGTAGACAATAAGTATAAAAAGCCAAGTAGGATTGGAAAATATTAAAACGACTCTACGCATGGAGTAGGAAAAGGTGTTAAAATAAGGATGGATAAAGTTACATGGGTACAAGCTCATCGTTATATTTTAATGAATAATGAAGAAATAAAGCCCCTAAGAGAGTGAGATATGAAACTTAAAACACCTTGCTTTATCTTCTTTTTTGAATAAAACTAAAAGATAACACATACTTTTTTTTATAGAATCCATCGTGCAGAGATTAGAAGAAGAAGTCGACTCAGTGATCGAGATGCACAAAATATTCATAACAAAGAGTTTCACGTATGGCTTAAGACCTATGTAAGTTTACGTGGCTGATGAAGTAGGTTAAAACTTTGGTGTGGGTGTCATACTTGCAAGTATGACTTGTCTAGATTATATATGCAAATGCAGGTTGAGGCAAGACAGACTTTTCATGATGAGGAATTATCACATACATGAAATCCAAACATTAGCTCTTATCCCTAATTCCAAATATTCCTTAAAGTAAATGAGCCTATTCCTAATTCACCCTTCCTCCTATCCCTGATTCCAAATATTCCTTAAAATTAATAGCTCCAACGGAAACATGTATTAAAACTTTTAAAATGTTGTTTTCTATTTCATTATTCTAGAACTTTGAGTACTTGCACTTCTAATTTCAAAACTGTAGTTGTTTTACTTATTTCTCATTTAAAATTAATGACTTATTGATTATATCTAAATTTCGAGGTGCACTAGTGTACATGAAATCAAATGTGAACTTGTTTCTAAGTATCTTGAAAATGTAAAAGGGAAAATTACTATTAACCCCCTGAGATGAGGTCATAGTTATTAATGCAACCTTGCATTTTTAAAAATCAATTAGTTACCTCCTCAGCTTTGATCATTCTCACTATATGCCCTCATGTTAATATTTGTTAAATTAAATTTCATATAACTCTTAAAATCAATGAAAATTGTCTATATATTTAAATTTTAAAGTAAAAAACAATTTATTATCATAATTATAAATCATTATTCTTGATCGTTATTTTTGTACTTAGCTACTCGATCGTGGAATAAATATTAAAGAAAGTAGGTAATGTAGAAGACTCACGAGCTGAGTAATACTCATGAGATATATCAATAAAAGTCTAGATGCCTTTTCATCATGAATATAAAAATCTTATTTGTAATTCATCTGCTGAATTAATCTCAATGACATTTCTTTCGTGTGTAGTAAAGAAGAAATACCAAAAAAGGAATTTTATCAATCAATGATCTAAAAGATTGGTCTAGTATTAATAATGATTCGAAAATATAGAATGTTCGGTATAGGGTCTGGATAATTGTAAGATGTCAATCTATCTAAGACCTAAAAAATATATCATAGTTTTTAATTTTTTTTTTAATTAATTTTATTACTAATTTTTTTATGATTTTTTTCTTCGCAAAAAGTTTATTAGTTTTACAAGATTTAATGATATTTACCTTTTTTTAATTAAAAATATAAATTCATGATATTTTATATATTACTCGTGAGTTTTCTCTTTTAACTACATTCATTAATATTTATTCCATGATCGAGTAGAAAAATAAAATATAGTGATCAACAAAAATGACTTATAATTATGATATTAAACTGTATTTCACTTTAAAATTTAATTTTACAGACAACTTTTATTAAATTTAAGAATTATATTAAATTTAATTTAACAAATATTAATGTGAGGGGGCAAATAGTGAGAATAATGCAAGGTTTCATTAATAATTATGGCATAACCTTAGGGAGATAATAATGATTTTCCCAATGTAAAAAGGTTCAATGCCATGAATGAGAAGACGTCAGCGGATAACGACATATGTCTATTTTTTTCAAAAAAAATTGTATTTTTAATATTTATAAATACATCACCAGTAACTTTTAATATTTATAAATACACTCACATAACTTTTAATATTTATAAATATGGCCCTGTATCCGTATCCTACTTTTTTTGGTTTTGTCGTTTCCCTATACCCGTTTTCGCGTCCCCGTATCGGCGCTACATAGCTTGCCCCTTTTTAAATGAATAGCCTTTATACAAAGCAACTAGGGAAGTTTTGTGTAAATTTTGTATACAAGTGATGTACACTAAGCATTTTTCTACAAATAATAGAAATAAGAAGTTAAATACTACCTCCGTCCTGGTGGACTTTGCCAAGTGCAATGTAGATGAGAAATAAGAATAGTAAATACTGTGTAATTGAGATTTGTGCAGAGGAAAGAGAAATATGCAGACCCACAAATTATTTGCTTTAATAGAGAAATGTTTTTTTGGGACAATCACAAAAGAAAAAAAAAGAAAAGTAGACAAAGTCCATGGAGGAATATGTTTGTGTGCGCTTTGTGCGCGCAACTCAGCAGGTGGGGCATTGCGCAGGTGGGAGTCATGCGGGTAGCAAGCCCGTTTCTGAGATAGATGTTCCCTTCTGTTGAGCTATAGCTAGATATCTATCGCCAACAGCAAAGTACGTGGATTGGGGTCTCCCTATTTCTCCCCTTCCAGATTTGCTTTTTGCGGCACACTTTCCTACTGTCCTATCCCACGCTCTGCACGCGCGCTTTATTTTCTCTACCCCACCTCTCTCTTATTGAGTTATCATGTACGTATAGCTCTCCCTTATTGTCAGCATTCAAGAGTCCATTCTTGAGAGATGACCCTGACTTTGCCAGGGCCCAAATTAGATGTAGAGAACCTATCACTTTTTGAAATCAATAAACATACTTCCTCCGTTCCTTTTTAATTGCAACAGTCAACATTTCACGTTTGCCAACGCACAAGTTTGACCATTAATATCTTTCATTCCGTATTAGTATAAAATTTAAAAAATTCATATTTTGAAAATTTAGAATGAGAAGAATTTAACAATATTTTTTAAAAATTTAATTTATAATACATCAATTAATAAAATGTAGTCAAAGTAGAATATGTGAATAGTGTAAAAAGTCCAACGTTGCAACTAAAAGAGAACGGAGGTAGTATGACGTACCCAATGACGCAAGCACTCTTCTTTTTGTCTTTTTTTTTTAATGTCAAATTCTCCTGTATATATAGCTTATGCCGCGGATAAGCCAGCATAACTCAATCCAGCTTCTTCTCCTGAAAACATAACACAATCGAACTAACTGAAATTGTAATATAATGAATCTCTTATCCAAGAAAATCACATGCAATTCGCATGGCCAGGACTCATCCTACTTCCTCGGATGGCAAGAGTACGAAAAGAATCCTTACCATGAGACCCGCAATCCCAAAGGTATCATCCAAATGGGTCTCGCCGAAAATCAGCTCTCCTTCGATCTACTCGATTCCTGGTTGGCTCAGAACCCGGAAGCCGCCGCCTTTCAGGGTGACAATGGAGGCGAATCCATTTTCCGGCAGCTGGCACTCTTTCAAGATTATCACGGCCTTCCTTCCTTCAAGAAGGCTATGGTTGAGTTTATGTCAGAAATCCGAGGAAACAAGGTCTCATTCGATTCCCACAACCTCGTCCTAACTGCCGGGTCAACTCCGGCCAACGAGACGCTCATGTTCTGTCTCACCAATCCCGGCGACGCTTTCCTAATCCCCACCCCATACTACCCAGGATTTGACAGAGACTTGAAATGGAGGACCGGAGCAGAGATTGTTCCCATTCAGTGTTTCAGCTCCAACGATTTCAGGATCACTGAGTCAGCACTGCAAGAAGCTTACTTATCCGCCAAAAAGCGCAACCTTAAAGTCAAAGGCGTTCTAGTCACCAATCCTTCCAACCCATTGGGAACAACGTTCACCCGCGAAGAGCTGGACCTCCTCATCACTTTCGTCGACGAGAAGGGAATCCATCTGATCAGCGACGAGATCTACTCCGGCACCGCTTTCAACTCCCCTGCCTTCATCAGCGCAACGGAGGTTCTCACGGAAAGGATTAATAACAAAACTGTCACCCACGACAGTGTGTGGGGCCGGGTCCACATCGTGTATAGTCTCTCCAAGGATCTCGGGCTCCCGGGTTTTCGGGTCGGCGCAATTTACTCCAACGACGAGATGGTGGTGTCGGCGGCTACAAAAATGTCCAGCTTCGGCTTGGTCTCTTCTCAAACGCAACACCTTCTATCCGCCATGCTATCCGACAAAAAGTTCACGAAGAAGTATTTGAGAGAAAACCAGAAAAGGCTGAAGCAGAGACACGCGATGTTGGTGGCCGGACTCCGGAAAACTGGCATCGATTGCTTGGAGAGCAGCGCCGGACTGTTCTGCTGGGTGGATATGAGACATCTTCTAACATCACAAACGTTTGATTCAGAAATAGAGCTATGGAAGAAAATCGTTTACGAAGTCGGGTTAAACATATCGCCCGGATCTTCTTGCCATTGTTCTGAACCGGGGTGGTTCAGAGTTTGTTTTGCCAACATGTCCGAGGAAACATTGAGTCTGGCATTGGAACGGATAGATTCGTTCGTCGCGGATTCAAAGAAGAACAAGAGGAAAGGATCCAAAAAATGGGTTTTCGGGCTATCGTCAAATGACGTTCAAAGAGAACGATAGTCAGTCTATTAACTATTCTAACTTAGTTAGCCATAAATTAAAGTAATTAATTCCTCCCCGGAATTGTAGATATGCTTCTTTTTTACTAATTTTTCAGTACACACTCCATAAGTGTTGACTTTTTACTCAATTGTTTGGTGTTTATCATTATTTTATGATGATCCAGTAAAAGTTGAGTTACTTAAGTATGCAACCCAACCGTGCACTAGTCTCTCTTTTGCTTATCTTGCAAAGATCTCATGGTGACCATTAAAATATTGCAATGAATTTATTCAGAGCCCGTTTGGTAACACAAAAATCGGCTGTTTTGGCTGTTTCTGCTGAAATTTATGAAGTTCTGGCTGAAGTGGCTGTTTTGGCTGATTCTGCTGATTCCAGAAAAAAATAGTTTAAAAATATATTTTATTAATAAAATAAAGAAAAAAATACATGTAAAAATAGCTAAAATGGTCATCTACAGTAACATCAGCCAATACAGCCAGAAAAGTAACTCCAACCTTACTTTTTCTGCTTATTACCCAATTCAGCATGCGAAAGTAAAAATTACGTGTTTGGTGAAAAAGCTGGCTGATAAGCCTGATAAGCCGAAAAAAAGGGTCTCCAAACGGACTCTCAAAGTATAAATAAACGGTTATATAGTGATTTGAGTCAATTAAATGAATAATAGGTGTGATAGTTACTTTTTGAAATGTACCGTAACGCTCAATGGCTTCTAAAAAGGTGGAGTTAATCACTAGTATAAAAGTCTAAATTTAGAATACTTAATAGTAACACAACGTACCTTAAAAAAAAATTATTGACACTACAACGTCTTTCTAAGTATTGTCTTGTTTTTTTTTGGATGAAATGTAAATATATATTAACACCCAGAAAATTATACATCACATATCCTAGATCTACTAAAACCTCCCCCTCCCCACGTAATGTGAGGGTGAATGAGAACTTCGGAGGGATATAAGACTTCCAAATGAAGCTCATCCATACTCTCGACGTCCCTTTAATTCTCAACAACTCATAAATTTTTCCGGAACGGAGTTTACCATTTAAGGATCTGCTATTTAGGCCCATAATGGTATCATTCAAATTGTTAAAGCATCCCAAAATTTGATCCCGAATGTGACTCAATTTCTTCATGAACATTGAGTCACGATTATGCGGGATAAAATTCCACACACTTCTACCTTTAAGGTAGACCCCATTTACCCACCTCACCCAAAGGGTGTCTTTCTTCCTATGGACATCCCAAAGTGTTCGAGAGAGAAGAGCATGATTCCAAATCTTGGCATTAAGAATGCCAAGGTCCCCCTCCTCTTTTGGCAGACAGATGTCATCCTAGGCCACTTTAGAATATTTCCCACCCCATAGAAAAATTCGGCAAATAGAAACAATCTTATATATCTAGGATTGTTTGGGGGACCGGGAAAACTTGGAGCCAAAAAGATTATTGGACCCCTTGGATCACGGATCTTATCAACTCGAGTTTTCCGGCATAGGATAAAGTAATGCGGTTATTAAGACTGGACCCCAAGGCCCCCCTTCTAAGTATTGTCTTGTTTCATGAAGTAATGCGGTTATTTTTTTCTTTTTTGAAGTCTCAATTTTAAAGAGTTACGTCGTCTTCACATATGAGCCAATTTGCTATCAAAATCGCCGGATTTATAATACTAGTACGTAGTATAGTTTCTTCAATTCCTCTTGGGGATTTAATATACAAATTTTATAAAGCAACACACTTTAAGGTTCGTCCATTTATTTCAATTAAATATTGATATTTGTTTTACTCCCTCCGTCCCGCTAAGATTGTCCCAGACACCATTCACTTGGTTAACACAAAGCATTCTTAATCTCTTACTTTATATATCAATTTTTTATCAAATTTGATTCAGGTTTTTGCGACTTTGTAAAGCTTTTAATTTAGTTTCTGAATATGTATTTTTTTTAAAAAAATAATTTGAGAGCGGACAGGGTTCTGTTTTCTTTTTCGTCGGTCAAACATCGTAAACCGAATTGTCCTAATCTTAGTGGAATGAAGGGAGTATTATATAACAGTAACAAGTTACGTTATTGGCATTAGTAACATGTTATATATCCTACCGTTCTTTAATTCACTTGAAATATGTCGTACACATCATAGTTCAGTTAGTCCTTTACATATGCTTTGATATCCTATGCTTCGATCACCAGGACACATATCAGCAAAACAAACAAACTGATAGTTAAACCAGAAGTTCAGAAAAGTATACCATTATTATCATGAAAAAGCAAATAGCAAATGATGCAAATGATGCAAGTTACTGTTTCATGTTTAATGCACAATTCTCAAATCTAACGATCTAGTTTCATTTTTAAACTCTCTTTTGATTGCATTCTCTTTTAATCCAAATTCTGCATATACAGATGGTATAACATTCCCATTCGCCCTCCCCATATTTACTTTTAGCGTCGTGGGAATATCACACACCCATCCCCGCTCCACATTATGCCCTCGATCTTCATCCTTAATCATGACCTCAAAGGACCATATCATGACATGAACATGAGTTGTGGGTTCGAGGGAGTAGATTAAGATATACTCCATCTGTTCCCTTAACTTTGTGTCGTTTTACCTTTTTTGTCTATCCCATTAAGTTTGTCACATACCATATTTGGTAATATTTGAGTGCTTACAATTCATTCTTACTTTATTAACACTTTATCAATTCAATATCAACCACAAAATTTATTTTTTCTTAAAAAATACTCCGTACATCACAGTCATATGTCCAAAACATAGGGGGACGGAGGTAGTTATTGAGAATGTTGTAGATGAAGTCGTGAACACTTATGTTCGCCACTACATCAACAAAGTAATCGAAGATTCTTTCCAATCGTTAATTATAGTCTTCATTTAATAGCTTAGAACTGCGTAACTCTTAGGAGGTGTTTAATTCACTGCTAAAGTCACAGTTAGGTTAGTAAGACAGGTGAAGTAAACACGCACACTGCTTAAAAAGCCGCTTACTAACCGAAAGAGGTGCTTAAAGTGCCGCTTATTAAGCATACCACCCCCCATGTATTAATTAAGCGGCACTTTAAGCTTTTTCAGTTTCCGAATTTACCCCTTGCCCTTAACCTATTGTTATCCCTGCCCCACCTCGACCCCAACCCCACCTACCCCGACCCCACCCTACCCCGACCCCACCCTACCCTTAACCCACCTACCCTGACCCCACCCTACCCTTACCCCACCCGAACCCTACCCTACCTACCCCACCCCTACCCTACCTAACCGACCCCACCCTACCCGTGGTGGGGTAGGGGGTGGGTCGGGTCGGGTAGGGGTAGGGGCGGGGGTTGGGGTAAGGTAGGGTAAGGTGGGGTCGGGGTGGGGTCGATGTGGTAAGGGCCTATGGGGGTAGGGGCCTATGGGGTCGGGGGTAGGGTTGCGGTAGGGTGGGGACAGGTTAGGGTGGGGTCGGGTAGGGGTTAGGGTCGGGTAGGTAGGGTGGGGTCAGGTAGGGTAGGGTAGGGGTAGGGGTAGGGGGTAGGGGTAGGCGGTGGGTGGGTAAGGGGTAAGGTAGGGTGGGTAAGGGGTTAGGGGTATGGGTACACATATTATATTATATACTTGTGTTCATGAATGTTTGTGTGTATATATATGTATAGGGTTATTTTGGACATTTTAATATTAAGCGGTGTTTTAAACCGTTTGAAGTAAACACGGTCTTACAACATTGTTTATTTTATGCGCCGCTTATTAACACGGGTCTTAATAAGCACCGTTTAATAACGGGTGAAGTAAACATGTCCTTAGTGTTAGTGTTAGTTGGATGTATTATGTATATAGATGTTTCACTTTGAATACCATTGTTATGACCATTTCAGTTACAAATGGAACTTTTTGTTTCACCATGTGGGCTATTTATTCAATAGACTTTGCTCATTGTGTTTGTCAATGAGTCCATCATATGATCTTATGCAATTCTTTTATTACACACGTACACATGCACACACACCTACTAAATAATTATCTAATACGAAGTACTAGTATGTTGTAGCTTATATATTTGCGAAGTAAATGTATTACTTGAGATTTGTGAAGAAGAGAGAATCCATGTGAACTACAAAGTATAATGTATTATCTTATAAGATAGTGAATGTGAATATGTTTTTGGGACGATATAAAATGAAAGGTTGGCTATGTTGCTATAAAGGATGGAACAATATTATTTATATGAGATTATTACTGATATATATTGGCAGAAAAGTCCATGTTATCTTAGTGAATCAATTTACACAATTTACAATACTTTGACAATCATTTAGTTATTTTTGACTTTTTTGACAATTTACAATTATCTTGTGGAATCAATTTATACAATTTACAATAGTTTGACAATCATTAATTTATGTTTGACAATGGATATTTGATGTATATAGATTGTGCCGTAGTGGTATTATTTTGAGTTTTTAATTTTACAATTTTATTGCAGCCCTACTAATATAATGGTATGCATGCAATAGGTTGTGTGGTCCATTTGCAATTTAAGGGGGTTGCCCCGCCCCCGAGTTGGCAAGTCCAATTCTGAGATGATCCGTATGCATGTAAATGTTTTCTGCAGCCACCTAAGTGAATAAATATACGTCCGTACGTCGTATATGACATCCTCAATGACGTAATGCATGGATGCATACTTAGCCTATATGCATATACTAAATATAGAGGGCTCTTCTCATCAGGCCGGCCTGACGGGTTAACTTGCAAAAATCATTTGACGACCTTCCCGATCGAATTTTGAGCTGAAATTTGGTATGGACAAACTAGACTTGATGAGGAACATGCTCAAAAAATTTCATCAAAAAATTCCACCGGGAAGGTGCCCAAACGGGCTCGGCCGGACGGGGCAGCCCGTCAGGCCGGCCTGACATGAAGTTTTCTCACTAAATATATATCTACTCAACTAAGATATGTGACATCATGCATTACGGAAGCACTTTTTCTATATTATTCTATGAATTCTTATTTTTCTCCCTAGCTATATACTCCATAGTAACAAGGCTTAGAACTGTGGGGTTTATGCCAGTGTACTTCAACCCAGCTTCTTATCCGTATATGTTTTGTGCAGGAGCTCTATTGCTTTAAGTATCGATCCCTATCTATCGACTGAAGTGAATATGTATATATGACATAGTCGGTGAATATGTGTTTTTTCT